GTCCAACAGGTTTATTTGAAATCACAAGCTTTCATAGCACTGCTCTTTGTCAGGTGAAGTGCTAAAGACATCACCTGACAAAGGAGTAACGCTTTGAAAGCTCATGATTTCAAATAAACCTGTTGGACTATAACCTGGTGTCATGTGACTTTGAATATTTATGACAATTTTTAATATCAGATTATTATTTTCAATTTACTTTCTAAAGTACTGTCTGATTGCTCTGATTATGATTTTACATTTTACATTTACATTTTACTCACATGCAAGTTGCATATGAGTTTGAGAAGGAACTTGAGAGAACTCACATCAAAACCATTGCAATTTTGGGTGAAGTTTCTGCCAATTGTATCCTTTTTGTAGAAACTCTTGGCTCTTATTTGAAAATTTAGTCCTATTCCTCCCTTTTCAAGTTCAGCATTATTTTTATTGAAACCAAAACAAATGCCACTTAATTTTGAGTGGACTCCTAAAATTATTTTAAAATGTTTTACCTAATTATCATTCATGGATTAATTTTAAATTTTGATTGGGGAAAATGATTTGACTAGCCATAATCATAAATTGAAATCCTGTGTTTCACAAAATCACTGTTTGTGGTATCAACTTCATAACTTGGTTAAGACAGGCTGGATAATCAGTTTGGCAATTTTATTATCTCCATTTTCTAAATCCATTTTACAGTGAAAATGCAGTTCAGATAGTAATTTTACTGTTTACTTCTCAGTTTCAGTGACATTCCTTGTGATCATGTTACTTTGGTTAATTTCCAATTTATATTATTCTATGCTATCTTGTATCTTGAACCCCTCCATTTTAACACCTCCATGAATCACATTGCTGAAAGTCCCAGGGGCAGGTGTGCAATACAGGTTTGAAACAGGTACAAAAGAGCCAATGTTTGCCTTAAAAATACCTGATCTGCTATTGGATAAGACTACTTTTACAAGTCTCCCTGCTGTCCCATAAAATGTGCCCCATTTAAGATGAATAAGCTGCCAGTTGAAGCATGTCCACAGGTAACTATAACCAGGTTTGTTTCAGTATACTCCATGCACAGTGCCAATTGAAAACAACAGGCCTAACGGAAAATAAATCCACCCCAATGTATATCAGTTATGATTAGCTCAAACAACTGCTTTCTGTCTCAAACATCAATGACAGCCAAGAAATTTGCCATGCCAATTTTAAGAGGATGGCCCATGGACACCTTCTATTAGATTGGCATGATACAATCCCTATGATGTCTTCCTGTTGGAAGTTTTAATTTTACCTGTTTCATATTTTACTAGAATTTGGACTTACCATGGTGTTTTTTTGTGTAACTTGCCTTAAAATGAAAGTCATAGTAAAATATGATCAACCTTTGAAACTTACAATCTTTTTCTAAGTTGTTAACTATCACACCTGAATGAAACTTGTACAAATTCATAAATACAATGCTTGCATTTTGTAAACAATGAAGTATGGCAGCAATTTTGGGCCCTGTATCTAAGAAAGGATGTACTGGCTTTGGAGGAGGACCAGAGGAGGTTCACAAGAATGATCCCGGGGATGAGGGCTTGTCATATGAGTAGCGGTTGAGGTCTCTGTGTCTGTATTTGAAGTTTAGAAGGATGAGGGGGAATCTGATTGAACTGAGAGGCAAGGATAGAATGGATGTGAAGAAGATCTTTCCATTAGTAAGAAAGACTAGGACCTGAGGGCACAGCCTCCAGGTGAAGACATGCCGCTTTAGAACTGAGGTGCTGCTAAATAAGACTTCAGGGTGTTAGGAGCAAGGTGCTGTTGTAGATAGAGGATTGGTTGACTGGCAGAAGGCTAAGTGTGGGGATAAAGGGGTCATTTTTTTGGAAAGAAGCCGGTCACTAGTGAAGTTCTGCAGGGGTCAGTGTTGGGACTACAACTCATCACGTTATACATTGATGATTTGGACAAATCAACTTCGGGAATTGTACTAAGTTTTCAGATGACACAAAGATAGGTGGAGTGATAGGTGGTGTTGAGGAGATGTGGCGGCTGCAGAAGGACTTGAACAGGATAGGAGAGTAGGCAAAGAAGCGACAGCTGGAATACAAGGTGGAAAATGTGAGGTGACACATTTTGGTAGGAAGAATAGAGGCATAGACTATTTTCTAACTAGTGGAAGGCTTCAACTCTGAAGCGTACAGGGACTTGGGAGTCCTTGTTCAGAATTTTGTGAAGGTTAACATGCAGATTTAGTTGGCAGTAGCAAGGCAAATGCAATATTAGCATTCATTTTGAGTGGGATACAAGAGCTGAGATGTACTGCTGAAGCTGTAAAAGGTTCTGGTCAGACTGCAAGTGGAATATTGTGAGCAGTGTTGGGCCCCATATGTAGGGAAGGATGTGCTGATATTGGAAGGGGTCCAGATGAAGTTCACAAGAATTGTCTGGAGATGAAGGGCTGGTCATACGAGGAGCAGTTGAGGACTCTGGGTCTGAATCTGATGGAGTTTAGAAGGATAAGAGGGGACCTTACAGAATGGTAAGAATCCTGGATAGAGTGGATGTAGAGAAGATGTTCCTGTTAGTAGGAGAGACTAGGATCCAAGGAGACAGCCTCAGAGTGAAGGGAAGACCGTTTAGAACTGAGATGAGGAGAAATTTCTTCAGCCAGAGGGTGGTGAATCTGTGGAACTCATTACCATAGAAGGCTGTGGAGGCCAAGTCATTGACTATATTTAAGACAGATAGGCTCTTGATTAGTAAGGTGATCAAAGGTTGCGAGGAGAAGGCAGGAGAATAGGGGTGAGAAACATCTGAGCCATGATTGAATGACAGAGCAGTTTTGATGTCCCGAATGGACTCTACTCCTATATCTTATGGTCTTACTAACCTGTTCCTGCTTTCTCCCATATCCTTTGATCTCTACAAGCTCAAGTGCTATATCCAACTTCTTCGTTAGATCATACAGAAACAGACAAAAACATTGTTACTGAATTTCAAAGACTCACCACTCTGTCTGGGTGAAGAAATCTTTCCTCATCTCAGCCCTAAATGATTCACCCATATCCCTAAACTGTGTGTGGTCTTGCCAAGGTCCTGTATAATTGCAGCAAGACATCTCTGCCCCTAAACTTGAATCCTATTGCTATAAAGGCCAACTTACCATTTGCCTTCTCAACCGCGTGCAGTACCTGCATGATTACCTTTTGCGACGAGTCGACAAGGACAACACGGGTCTCGTTGCATATTTCCTCATTTCAATTTATTGTCAGTCAGATAATCTGTCTTCCTGTTTTTGCTCCCAAAGTGGGTAAACTTTCACTTATCTGTATTACACTGCATCTACCATCCATTTTCCCACTCCGCCTGTCAAAATCACACTGGAGCATCTCTGCATCCTCCTCACAACTCACCCTTCCACCCAGCTTTCTAACACCTGCAAATTTGGAGATATTACATTTACTTCCCTCATCTAAATCATTCACATATATTGTGAAGTGGTCCTGGCACTGGTCCTGCAGTACCCCACTAGTCACTGTATGCTGTTCAGTAAAAGACCAGTTTATTCCTCTTCGTTGTGTCTTGTCTACCAACTAGTTTGCCTGTCTGAATGCACTACCCCCAATCCCAAGTGTATTAATATTAAACATTAATCTCATGTGGGACTTTGCCTAAAGTCTTCTGAAAATCTAATTAAACAACATCCACTGGCTCTGCCTGTTCAGTTCTACACATTATTACATCCCTAAAGAATTCCAGTAGATTTGTCAAGCATGATTTCCCTGATTTGCATCCTGTTTGCACATCAAAATCAAAAACTCAACACTGTGTGATTTTTCCATGTTTTGCTAACTGAATGGGCAAGTACATTAATGGACAATTCATACACCACCTCGACTGATATTAACTCTCCCAATTGCCCGCTAATAAGCTCACTAAGAGCTGATAGGCAATTAGGGGTGAGTATCTCCATGTCATGGGTCTTGACACGAGCAAGCTGGATCACTAGGCGTTGCAGCCTATCAGAAGCTGGCAGCTTGCAGTTCCTGAAGTCTGCAATTTGAGACCTACTTTTTGGGTGATCCAGTGGCAAAAATAGCTTTTGTTTTTTGTGGAGAGAAGTGCCTCTGAGATATGGCTTTGAGAGGTCACTTCCTTAAATCTGATCTGCAGCTCTAATTGCCACCAGATTAGGTTAATTGGAGACCCCTCCCCCACCTCACTGAAAAATCCAGTTGGCAGGTTGCCATGGTGTCAAAGTCAGCAAAGTACTCACATTTCTCACTGGTTGGGGAAGCGAGTGATCAGGAAGGTGGCAAGTAAAGGTGCTTTAATTAGCCATTAAAGGCCTTACTTGCTGGCGAGTTGAGAAAATCAGACTTGCTTGCCCAGCATTTCATTGCTGGGGTAGCAAAAAGGAAATGAACTTCTCTCCAGAGCTAACTTGCCGAACTATTTT